TTGGCTTATCGCGGACTGAGATTGCGGCCCCGGGCCGGCCACGCCTGCCCCGCACCCCCGCCATCCCCGGCTCCTCAATGCCCACCGCCCTGCCGGGCCCTACTGACTCAGCCGGGGGCTTGGCTTATCGGGCACCGAGATTGCGGCCCCCGCCGTCCCCCAGTGCTACCCTGCCATCCTCATGCGGGGCACAGGGGCACCACTGCCATCCTCATGCAGGGGATGGCGTGCAGGGTCCTGCAGCCCACCCCGGGGCCCCAAAACGTGGGGCAGGGTCACCATGTCCTGGTGTGCTGCGGGACCATGGAAGGTGCCAGGCAGAAGGACCTTGGAGTGGGCTGTTAGCTGGGTTAATCGTTGATAGTCTGTTTGTCTTTCCCCAGCTGCACTTTTACACTTTAAATCTGGGTGTTGGAGGCTCCCCAGGGACCATTCAGCAGCCTGCAGCAGTGGATCAGGGTGCTCCAGTGCTCCAGGTGCCCAGAGCTGTCCCCCAGGATGGAGAGCAGGGCCCCGCCATGGTGCATGTACCCAGCTTGCAAGGGATGTGGTGGGGAGGATGCTCACAGCAGGGGAGCATGGCCAGGGGGACTGCAGAGCTCCCACGGGGAGCATTCGGGGGCGCTGGCCCTGTCCTGGTGTTGCAGTGGGCTGCAGTGGTGGGTGCCAGTGGGTGCCTTGGTGGTGTGAGCACAGACTGGACACACCTGTGATGTTTACTTGGCAGGGAGCAAGTCCTGGAAGGAGTGAGGCCGTTTGGGAGGGGGTGCGTGACGTGGTGGAGGGCAGTATAAAGTCCAGGGTGCTGTACTGGAGACGGAGGCCACTGCGTTCCCCAACAGCTTCGCCTGTCCTGGTACTGAGGTAAGAGCCTGGGGTCTGGGGTGGGGGGCTGAAGAAGGGCTTGGCTGTGGGCCAGCAAGGGCAGAGCCAGGGGTGCTGGCCCCCGTGGGGGGGGAGCAGAACAAGGGGCAGAGCATTGCCTGGGCACCGTCCACCCTCCCTGCGGCTTCACTAGAGGGTCTTTGCCCACCACTGTTTGCACAGCTCTAGGCACTCTCACCCTGGGCTAAGGGGTGGAGGTGGCCTTTGGGACAGCATTGTTACCCAGCCACCCTGCGGGTCCCCAGCTGGTAGGTTTTATGGGATGTGCTGCTCACCACCTGAGACTGGGGACAAAACCTGAGGTACGTGGTGTCATCCCCACAGGGAAGGGGCATAGTGTGATGGTGTGGCTGGGACACCAGCCCTGAGGGACACAGGCATGGGGGTCTCCAAGCACAGGGGATGTTGCCCCCACCAGTGTATCTGAACAGTGGGGCAGTGTCAGTGGCCCCCTGTCCCGGGAGAGGAGCACAGCACATGGCTCTCAGCACTGAGCACAGCTTCCATTAACACACAGCCAGCATCACCCCAGCGGACTCTTTCACATGTCCCTGATGGGATGCAGCATGCACAGGGCAGCTCTAGTGCCCTCGCAGCCGTTGCTGCTGGCACCAACCCCCTTGGCAGCAGAGCCTCAAGGGCATGGTGGGACCCACGGCGGCTGTACCCAGTGCACCCACCCCCACAAGTCTCCACAGACTGCTCAGTGCCACGCTGTGGAGAAGCCAGACTGGACCTCTGGTCACAGTGCCCTGTGCCATCCATGAGGGATGAGCACGTAGCTGGGCTGTGCCATGCATCCTGGGGAAGGGACCCCCAGGAACCCCAGGTGGCTATCCAGCCCGGTGATGCCCATGGCGTGGGTCCTGCTGGGCAGAGCAATGAACGCCCTGCAGCTGGCAGCTGGGGGGGCCGTGGCCGTGGTCGGCACAGGGCGAGGTGGGAGCGGGTGTGGGGCTGGGCAGCGGGAATGCAGCACACAGGCACTTTGTTTGGCTGGGGTGGGCGGAAGTCAGGGCGTTGGATCTGAATGCTAAAGTGTGTTGTTCAGGGGCCAATAAAGGCCCTATTGTATGTAAATAGTTTATAAAGCAGCATATGACTTCTAGTGCAGGGCAGTGGCGGATAGAGACGAGGGCAGGCGGAGCAGAGCTCTCCTGCAGGAGACATGAGACCTTAGAGGGGCCACTGGGGGCAGCTTGCGAGGACCCTTCCTCACCGGCAGGTATGCACCGCCGGGACCCTCCACATCAGGGGCGGCTGGAGGGCAGGTCCCAGGGCCAAAGCCTGGTGCTCAGGGTGGGAAGCAGCTCCTGGGGCTGCTAAGTGACAGCGGGTGGCTCTGGCAGGGCAGGGGTCTGTGCTTGGCATGCGGGGTCACCCCATGCTCCCCAGGCAGGGATGGCTCTAGGAGGGTGGCAATGCATGGCTGCATGGGGGGGTCCCCCCAGCTCAGGGCTCCCTGGCCCCACTCCTGCAGGGAATGGGGGGATGAGGGCAGGAGGTGCTGGTGCAGAGGAGCCCATGGAGCTCCTTGGGTCTACCTGTAGCCAGAGAGCTCAGTTCTGCATGCAGATTGGGGGTCCCTGCAGAGGTGTGGGAGCTTTACCCCCATTCTCTGTGGCAGCCATGGGGTCAGGATCCCTGTGCCAGTGTGGGGTAGCAGGGCAAGAGCAGCTGGCACTGCAGGGCCAACCAGTCTCCTACCTGCTCTGGCCAAAACGCTGCCCTGAGCCGTGTCAGCAGTGGGAGCCATGCTGCCATCCTGCTGTCCATCCATCTTGCTTGTCCACCTACCAGGACTGTGGCAGCCAGTTGCTGCTGGGTCCCTCCTGGGGCTGCTGCCACCAGGGCCGGGCTGTGGTGGCTCTCAGCCAAGGGCCCTTCCTGCTCCTAACACTGTGTCTTGCTGCTTGCTCCTGCAGACCTGAGGAACGATGAACTGGGCCGGTCTTTACACGGTGCTGAGCGGGGTGAACCGCCACTCCACCGCCATTGGGCGCATCTGGCTCTCCGTCATCTTCATCTTCCGGATAATGGTGCTGGTGGTGGCAGCTGAGAGCGTCTGGGGGGATGAGAAATCTGCCTTCACCTGCAACACCCAGCAGCCAGGCTGCAACAGTGTCTGCTATGACCACTTCTTCCCCATCTCCCACATCCGTCTGTGGGCCCTGCAGCTCATCCTTGTCACCACGCCAGCCCTCCTTGTGGCCATGCACGTGGCCTACCAGCAGCACCAGGAGAAGAAGCTGCTGGTGCTGACGGGGCATGCAGATGCCAAGCACATGGAGGAGGTGAAGAAGCACAAGATGCGCATATCGGGTTCGCTGTGGTGGACATACGTCTGCAGCGTGGTCTTCAGGCTGCTCTTTGAGGCTGTATTCATGTACATCTTCTACATGCTCTACCCAGGCTACCAGATGGTACGGCTGGTCAAGTGCGAGGCTTACCCCTGCCCCAACACCGTTGACTGCTTCATTTCCCGGCCCACCGAGAAGACCATCTTCACTGTCTTCATGCTGGTCACCTCCAGTATCTGCATCATCCTCAACATGGCAGAGGTCGTCTACCTGGTGGTGCAGGCCTGTGCCCGCCGAGGCCAGCACAACTCAAACCCCTCATCGGTGAAGGGCTCCTTCTACGGGCACAAGCTCTCAGAGTACAAGCAGAATGAGATCAACCAGCTGCTGACAGAGCAGGACGGCACCCTCAAGGACATGCTGCGCCGCAACCCCGGGCTGCAGGAGAAGGGCGACCGCTGCTCTGCCTGCTAGGGCCAGCGCTGCAGGGGGCCAGCCCTTGCCCCCACCCCCCAGCCGCCCCATGGCCCTGTGCTGTCTCTCAGGTGCCAGTCCAACCCTTCCTAATGGCCAGGAGGGCATCTCGAGCCATTAAATCTCCATTCTCAGGCGCTGCCTCCCTCCTTTCTGCTCTGGCTGGGATATGCCAGGGGCTGGGGTGCCAGTGTGGGGTGCTCACCCCTGCACTCTAGCCCAGGTGGGTGCCACCAGGGGCTGTGGGGGCTACAGTGCCCAAGCTGAGCTGGGGCTGTGGACGCAGTGCCCTGGCAGCTGGCATGCAGGAGCAGTGACCCCTGGGTGGCATTGAGCAGTGTCCAAGGGCTCGTGCTCCCCCAGCATCAGCCCCTGCAGCCCCGAATATATTTAGAAAAGTGTCCAGACCAAAAATAGAGGGAAAAAGTTTCCCCAGTGGCTGTTTCATCTGCCAGTCACAATGAAAGCCAATGGGGCACACAGTTGCCTCATGCCCCAATACCCCTGCGCCCGCTGTCGGGTGGACAGACGAACGGAGCTGGGCGGACCTGTCCGCACCCCTCTGAGGAGCTGGGGACCAGCCGGGAAGAGGCCTTGCAGCATCCCGCACCGTCCTACCGAGGGGAGCCAGCAGTGTGGGAGCACCAGGCTCTGCCCCGCACACCCACCAACGGTGAGGGGTCCCCGTGCCGGATCACCACTGCGGTGTCCCCCATGGTGCTCCCAGCATGGCGGGGCTGCTTTCTGCCAGAGGTTTCTGCTCCTGCTGCCCTCCCCACGACAGGTTAGGGGATCCCATGGGATGCAGGGTGGGGACACTCCAGGGACAGCCCCGGGTCGGGTCCCTGCACAGCCACCCAGCGGGGGGATGGGGCGGTGGGTCAGCGGGTTGTGGGGCGGCTGTGTCTGGAGGGCGGCTGTCTTGCAGGGCACCGCGGCACGTGCCATGGGGGACTGGAGTCTGCTGGGGCGGCTGCTGGAGAGTGCCCAGGAGCACTCCACAGGGGTGGGAAAGGTCTGGCTCACCGTCCTCTTCGTCTTCCGCATCCTGGTACTGGGGGCGGCCGCTGAGCGGGTCTGGGGTGACGAGCTGTCTGGCTTCTCCTGCGACACGCAGCAGCCCGGCTGCCAGAACGCCTGCTATGACAGCACCTTCCCTATCTCCCACCTCCGCTTCTGGGTTCTGCAGATCATCTTCGTCTCTACCCCCAGCCTTGTGTACCTGGGCCACATCCTGCATCTGGTACATCTGGAGGAGAAGGCGCAGCAACAAGCGGCAGCACGGGCCAGCAGCGGGGCCAGGCGGCAGCGCCCTAGGCAGCCCCAAGTCCCTGTGGGGGACACACGGGGACGGGTTTGCATGCGGGGAGCCATCCTGAGGACGTACATCTGTAATGTCGTCTTCAAGGCCCTCTTGGAAGTGGGCTTCATTGTGGGCCAGTACACCTTGTACGGGTTCCAGCTGAAGCCCCTCTACACCTGCAGCCGCTGGCCCTGCCCCAACACCGTCAACTGCTATATCTCCCGGCCCACTGAGAAGACCATCTTCATCCTCTTTATGCTGGGAGTGGCCTGTGTGTCCCTGCTGCTCAACCTGGTGGAGATCTACCACCTGGGTCTCACCAAGTGCCGGCAGGGGCCAGGCCCCAAGTCCCACATCCTGCTCAGTCCTGGTGGCCCTGCAGGGCCCCACAGTACCCGCGTCACCCTGCCCAGCAGCAGCAGCCCCATGGCTGCTGGCAGACCCCCCCGTGGCCTGGCACCCCTGGGGAAAGCGGGTGCATGGTTGGGGGTGGCCTGTGTGTCCCACGGGAAGGCGCGAGTGGCAGACCTGGAAGTGTGAATGTGGGCTGCTGGGATGTTCAGGGATGGGTGATGCATGGGTGGCCACAGTTGTGGTTCTCTCTCCTGGCCCTGTCAGTCTCATGGCATGGATCCTACAGACAGCACAAGAGACGGGCACGGACCTGGGAACACGGCGTGGCTACTCTCTGCGCTCTTGGGAACAGCAGGGCTCAGAGTACAGCCGGACTGGGGCAGGGACCTGTCAGCCCTGGGGGAACAAATAAACACCCACTGCACCTCACTTGACTCCTGCTCTGCCCACGGGCACCGCGCCATCACTCTGACTGGTCCGTCCCATGTGTGGCCAGGGCAGGGTCACCACTGGGTTGGGATTGGCACAGCCCTATGGGGAAGGGACAGGCAGGGTGTGCCAGGCTGGCACCAGTGGGCACGGGGTCAGGGGCCATCCCAGCATGCCAGAGCTGGCAGCACACCAGGGGCCAGATACGGTAGGAAGGGATGGACAGGAGCAAGCTGCCTGGCAGCCATGGGACACTGGCCCTGTTCTCCACAGTGCCCACCTTGCCCAGGGCGGGGGGAAGCAGGTGCTGCCAAAAGTTTTCCACATCTTTATTTGAAATGAATGGTTTCCAGAGGCACAGGGTTAGTCCTACCACCCTGGCATCACTACAACAAGACTGGTGAGCGGCTTACTCTCCACGTGGACACAGAGAACAGATGGCCCTGGGCCAGGGCCCAGAACAATATATACAGGCTCAACAGGAGACCCATGTACAGCTCAAGAAAACCAACCAGAACACGAGGAGGGGCAGGAGGCAGCAGGGAGTGGCACAGCCAGAGCCAAGCTCAACCCTGGCAGGGTGCTGGCTCCCTGCCACTTTGGGAGGGAGGGGAAGGCCAGGCAGAGCTCCTTGTTTCTGCCAGCAGCTGCCCAAGCCCCCAGTGGGAGCAGAGGGACCCACCAATGGCACCTTGCAGAGGGGAGGGAAGTTACGCCAGGATGGGGGATAGTGGGGAGAGAGGGGCAGCACTGGCACAGACCCGTCTCCATCAGTTTTCTGCCACCTCAGAAAACATTGACAAAATTGAGGGAGGTGGCCCAGCTGCATGGGAGGCAGGCATCCTTACTGCAAGGCTAGGTCTCTGCCCTTGTGTTCCAGCGCCGGCTCCCTCTGCTACCTGAAGCCAGCCCAAACCTCTCCCACCCCTGGGAATGAGCCCTCCCCAGACCCAACAGCTCTCATGCTTGTCGGTGGTCCTTCCCCACTGGCTTGAAAACACCGTCCTGCCACAGCAGCAGCAGCACTACGATTCCTGTCCTGCCACACACAGCCTCATGAGGGGATGCTAAAGGAAGGGGGAATTAAAAGCCTCAGGGTCACTGGCCCCCGATGGCGCTCTGCAGTATTGTGTGGTTCCTGCCCCGGGGCAGGGGCAGAGGGGGGTAGTGTCAGGGCTGGGGTTAAGGGGGGACAGGGCTGGGCAAGGGCAGCTGCCCCAGGCGCTCTGCCACCCCTGTGCTGTGGGGACTGGCCCCGGGGAAGACGTCTCACCCAGCAGCTGGGGCAGGAGGCAGGGCTGAGCACGGGGGCCACGTATTTAGGAGAGGCCTGTAACGAGCATGATGGGATGTCCAAGTCCAGTAACGATGAAGGGACAGCACTGCTGCAGCACTGTCCCCTCCCACACTGCATGGCCCCTGCCCTGCAGCAAGAGGCAGGGAGGCAAGACGAGATGTCCAGGGCTGGAGTGCAGCCAGTCTGGCAGCACCTTGCTCTTAGTCTATGTCGTCCTCCAGGCTGCTGAGCCGACTGTGCTCCTCGTAGATCTCCCTCACGGCAGCATGCTCTCCAGCATGCTCCGGTCCATGGGGATCACTGAGTACCAGAGCGGGGACTCGGCGATGCACGACCGTTCAGGCTGCAGGTAGAAGACATCATTGCGGTTCCGCAGACTCTCAGGACTGTAAAGAGAGGGGAAGATGAGCCCTGGGATATCAGCTCCAGGGGCTCAGAAAGCCTGGCCTGCCCTCATGGTTATCAAGGCGGGGCTCAAGACTTGCCACAGCCTCTCATCCTTCA